AATAATACCTTTGCATTGTTAACCAATATAAGATCTATACTTGCCTCAAATTTGATGGCGGCATTTACAACGTTTTGCAGCCAAATATCTGTGAGAAATGTTGGGTCAGATCTGTTGAAATCACCAGCAAAGGTGCAAAGAGAAGAATTAATGTGGCCTCTGAGGAGGGACAACTAGGGGCAATGTAGGTATTTGCAAGCAAAATCGACTGGTAACCACCTAAACATCTTGGTTCATATTTCAAATTCAGACAGTTAATACGTGAAGAAAAGCGAAATGTTTTGTTGTAGTGCACCACACGGCATTGACCTGAGTGGTGACACCTCCGCCGCGGATCTTGTAGGTACTTGTCCGGTCGACACGATGGCAAAGGAATCTCTCGACCACTGCAACCTCATCCTCAAGATCTTCATGGAGTCAAATTTCCTAAAGTATAATTATGTCAAGCTCCTTCATTACAGCGAATTTTGATTCCAGTCCCATCCAGTTTGTTCATAACTGCTAGGACATTTGAACTTATTATAATGGGTATACTCATACAGAGAATTAGTAGGGCAAGTTGAATGGTATAGGTAGAAATTCGTCACATCTAGACCCAATCAGACAGTCGTCACACGCCCGGAAAAGCACTGTACACGCGTTTCATCCTTTGGGGATACGTCAGCAGTGCGCATTCCATCGGAACCTGGTAGGGATCGAACCAGCAACTCGACTGTTGCCAGTCCGTGGTTGAGACCACTGAGCTACGGGGGACTGCAACGACCATCGTGAATAAGTTATTAGATGTGATATAGCGCCGCTCACTATCCACTGACTTACACGTTACTGCCGTGCAGAGGACGGGGTAGCCCCCTCACCAAGCGACGAGCTTACCAAACTTAAGCCGCCCAATAACTTCGGCATTAGAAGCAGTTTGGTCTGCGTACTGATTACAGAGGAATAGTAGGGGAAGTTGAATGATACAGGTATAAATTCGTCACATCTAGACCCCCGATTAGATGCTGCTCTTAGCTCCCAGCATTTCGGTACCTAAACTCCTCTATTATGGATTAGGCCAAGCATGCTTCTCTACCGGAATTATGTATCAGATGGAACTAAGGGAGGGAACATATTTTACTTTTATCACGCCTTATTTTAACGATCACCGCACTCCAGTGTATTTCTGCACGATTACGTTCGGTTTTTGTTTAATTTTACATTGCTGTACTTTATCCAAGTATTCGTCTCGGCAGACGTTTGGTAGCTGACCCAGATCCGTTTTGAGTTCATCATATTCGCCCCAACCATCCTACGGGACGTGTCAAGCACTTGCTTTTATCACGTGATAAGTCAATGTTCATACTCCGCAATGTTTTGTTCCATAGAGAAACCCGCCATCCAGTAGGATGCTTTTTATTAGAATTATTGTATTTCTTATAGATTCCGATCAATTTATTTTTTTACAGCTTGTCCGTGAAAAAGCGTGAAGTTAAGTGGAGTAGAAACACGTAAGGATTTTAAAATAACGCGAGTGTTTTTTGTGCAATGATCCTAGTAGGAATCGAAGTATATCCGATATGCTGAAATGAAGGAATACCAGCTTCCAACGGTTGTCTCATAACATAAGTAGCCAAAATTCCCTGGGTCGGAATCGAACTTACCGAGAAGGAGAGAAGTGCACCTCACAAGCGTGCATCGGTGGAAACGCGAGTCAGACCAGGTGTACGAGTATATAAACAAGAAATTTATGGCAACAGTGCAAGAGAGGTGTTAATAAGTAGTGAACTCAGTTACAAGACATGCTATTTGGGATCTAATCACATACAATGTTGGTAGGATTGAGGAATAACTGGGGGACTACGCTACACGAGTTTAGGTCATTATAGCCTTGAAGATTGTATGGATTGGGTAGAAACAAAGTGCAAACTTTGCTGAAAATGCGAGTATAAGTAATCTCGTAGATGGGATAAAAGAGCACGGCCAATTTTGAAGATCTCGCCACTGTTTTAATCGCAAGCTGGTAACAGTTAAATTTTTGGTTCTGGTCCTAGAGCGACCTAGATACAATACGCTCTGCTGACGATTCGGGAAAAGATGAAATGTCCGTATGGTGCTTTTAGGGGTCTAGATATGATGAGCATCTATATATACCATTCACTCTCAATACGCTCCCGTAATAATTATACTATTATGCGGTTTAAAGGAAGGTGTTCATTGTCCGCTGATTGATGGCATTTTCACGAAAGTTCCGTGAATTCTGTCAGGTTCTGCACTCCTTACGGTCAGCTAAAATGGAGGGCAGTATAAAATTTTCATCCAAAGTGTGCACAGCAAAGTTGCACTCAATGCGTTGTGCACGGACACTCAGTTGGATGAAGATTGATCCAAGACATGGGGTATGGCTCTCACTTCATAAAAATTCCCCAATTTGCCATAATGAAGCGGCGAAACAGTGCACCGATCACTTACCGTATGTTACCGAATATAAGCCAATGAATTTTGGACAAATTTTCGTTTCTGTGGAGGAAGGTCGGCTTATAAAAAGCCATACGGTACTTGCAAAAGTCACATACAAAATCCACTGCTTACCACTGCCCTTATCTCCTGTTAGCACCAGTTACTAGTGAGGGACGGTATTCCAAACGAGGATTTGAAATGCCTATAACTGCACACGTTACTTTTGTGTCGAAACCTCTAGGTATATTGCACATTTGAGTTTTTCAGTCGAAGCTTTACAGTCAGGAACAAGGTCTCGCAATGGGATGGCCAATATCCCCTGTACTGGCGAACCTGTATATGGAAGACTTCGAGAACAGGGCATTAACAAGCACCATTAACTCACCAAAAGTTTGGTGGCGTTATGTAGATGACACCTTTGTACTTGTTAAAAAGGATAAGAAGGACGAATTGCTTGATCACTTAAACTCCATTGATGAGAGAATACAATTTACTATTGAGTTGGAATCTTGTAGCGGTACAATACCATTTCTTGACTGCCTAGTTCACTGGAATGGGGGAAATTTAAAGACGACACTATATCGCAAGCCAACGGATCCTGACGGCGTACTCCACTACACATCGGGTCATCCGAAACAGGTTTACGCTGGGATAGCCTCAACGCTGTTCTACAGGGCACAAAACTTGTGCATGATGGAGGAGGACAAAAAGGCTGCGCGGAAAGTGGCAATGAGCAAACTGTTAGAAAGCGGTTACCCACGGCGACTAGTTAAACGTCAATTGCATAAGGTGCTACACCGGCAGTCAAGACCCACAGCCGAGTGGATAGGGACGGTCGGAATTCCGTACAAGGAAGGCACTTCCGAGGCAATTCGGAGGGTACTAAACAAGGAAAATATAAGGGTGATCTTTCACCGAGGTCGAACGTTACGTTCGGCGCTGGTACACCTGAAGGACCCCCTTCCCAAGGATAGGACGACTAACTGTGTTTATAAAATTAAATGTAAAGACTGTGCACATGTGTATATAGGCCAAACAGCGAGAGAATTACGCACACGAATTTCGGAGCATGGGAGGCGCATTGCAAGACTACCAAGAAACGAGTTCGAATACCAGGCGATAGTAAGAGACTCGGCCGTAGCTGTGCATGCATTAGACACGGGTCACCAGATAGACCTCGAAAACCTAGAGGTCATTAGGAGGGACATACGATCAACATCCCAGCGGCTGATTGCTGAGGCGGTGGAAATTGCCAAATCTGATGACTGCGTGAATAGAATTGAGGGGGTAGAATTCCCTAATGCATGGCGGGCGGTTTTAGGCCGGCCAGCTTGACGAGCATCGATGCGTGGATCAGATTGAAAAGTGCAAACCGACTCCCATTGTCAACACTGTGGGCCTATCCGTCAATGTCATGACGCACAAAGGAACACCTGGACTATTCCCACTGTGTTTAAACCACCTGAGGTGACATCCCGAACTGTTCCTGTAATGACTCATGGCTCAAGACTCGGGTACCGCGGTTATCGGCCCTGTTCGCTATAAAATCCCACACCAATTGCACACTGATTCACCTGGTCTGACGAAGTCTTTATTTTATTGACGAAACGTTACCAAAAATACTATACCAACCGATTGTTTCCAAACCTCTCTGAACTCATGACTACTCGATCGGTTCCAAGTATCTTTCAAGAATTTGAAACGCCCATAAACATTATTTTATGCCAGGCGATCCGTCGCCTCAATAGTACAACCTAGTCCCACATCCTGACCTTGAACTTCCCTCTCACCCACTGCTTTACTGCGCTTCATACGCATGAGCCCACCGACAATGTGAGGCGGTTCGTCTGACACACTTTCTCAACTTAACCTATGCTGTCGGCTGTCTTACGTGTTTCATATGATTTGACGTCTGATCGATGCACTGTCCGATGCGGTGAAAGTCTGTGCTGACAACCCTACGCCCCATTAATCGTGATTATTACACTTTACGGTCACCACAACTGACCAATAGTAGATCAGATTTCACTCGAACTCACTCAAGTGCGAGCAGGTAATGATGAGGTCACAATCGTGGAGAAACAAATTCATTTCACTTTCGCTGATTTTTTAAGGGTCGGCTAATAGAGGGACTTTGGACAAATTTGAACTTGCAAAGTTATGCTGTCGGTTTATTTATAGACGGGCTTATATTCGCTAATATAGGGTAATTCATAATTGCCTCCGTATCAAATATAAAGCTACAGAAAGCAGCTCCATGTTGTTCGCATCTCATAAACTAAGATGATATGAATGCTGCAAGCTCCTAGTTAACGATGAGTGTCGACTGTTAAGCCGCAAGTGTCTACCTTGGGTGTAAACAATGGAACCTGTCATTTTCAGCTTACCGACAAAGAGAACTACGGAAGCTCTGTAGTTGCTTCTGACTGATCGCACACTTAATCATCCGCGTCTGCGGATTGGTGGGAGCGCGGGTGGGTCAGCGTCTAATCGGCTGTCACGCCCAGGCGCATACACTTAACTAGAGAATGGTCTCACACTAAAGTGTTGAAATATGTGTCATATGACGTGGTAGCGTTATATAAATCAACATCAACTTGTGTATTGTTTATTACCTTACGGTCACCACTTCTGTTTGATTGCAGCCCATTGTCAATCTGCTGCGCTTCGACAATTCCTTCATATTTCGTCTAAAATATGGGATGCACAAACTGTTTCAAACACAAGGAAGTGTCCGGAAATCGAATAGTCTACGCACTGCGTCGATCGAGCGCACAACTGGGAGACGACGTTCCCATGAAAAAATTTTGCTCCAATGCAATTATCTCATCACGATATACATTAGTGAATTTCATCCCAAAGAATCTGTTCGAACAATTCCATAACATAGCCAACATTTTCTTTGCTGCAATCGCCATTCTGTACACGTTCGCTTCACCAGCCACAAGCATTTGGGCTAATTTAGGACCTTTGGTGGCCATTCTTGCTATAACAATGATTAAGGATGGAGTGGAAGATTTGTTTCGTCATCGTCGGGACCGGCTGACCAATCGTGCTCTTTTCTGTGTTTTGCAAGTAGATGAGCAGGAAAAAGTCGTACACTGGAATTATGAACTGGCCGAATCCATCAGAGTTGGTGATATCGTTTTATGTGAGAAAGATCGTATTCTTCCGTGCGATCTAGTAGCCTTATGTTCTAGCCACGATTCCACGGTGGTTTATTTGACCACTGCAAACCTGGATGGCGAAACGAATGTGAAGAAAATTTACGCAGTTAATGCTACCCAGTCAACGTATGAGGCATTCACTCCAGAGAATTTGTCGAACAGCCTTCATAAACCCGGAGACTTTTATGGACTATTAGATCAATTATATGTTCGTGTTGAGTGTTCAGCTCCGACTGAGGACCTTGGCAAATTTGAAGGACGTTTGACCACGCACGAAACTTCCAACATGAATTTATCAACAAAAAATCTATTGCTCCGAGGATGCAAACTCCATAACACCGAATTTGTAATCGGTTTGGTCGTGTATACGGGTAGAGAGACCAAGTTGTCACTAAATGGAAAGCATTCGAGAAGGAAGTATAGTTCACGTGATGCGCGATCGAATGTAATACTCCTTTGTTTCATATTCGGCATGATTATATTGTCAATTTTGTTAGCTGTTGTATTTACCATCGTGACCACGCAAACAAAAGATACGCAATGGTACATTCCAGTAGCTCGTCAAACACCTTGGGAATTCGTACTGAATGTGTTTCGTTTTGTGGTCATATCGAATTATCTCATTCCGATCTCGATTATTTTTACGGTGGAATTTCAGCAAATCCTACTAGCCTTTTTTATATCGAATGATTTGCGTATGTATGACAAGAAAGAGGATCTGGTGGCCAAGGCGAACAGTTCTCAGTTCGCTGATGAGCTGGGTCAGGTGGAGTTTTTGTTCAGTGATAAAACTGGAACCCTGACTCAAAACCTGATGTGGCTATCCGTCTGTGCTGTCATAGATACGGACAAGATTTATGAATTTCAACGGAGACCTGTGCAGCAAGCGAGCCACACTACCACCTCGGCTTTCAAATCATTGGGTGGTGGAATTAGTGAATCATTATCATCATCTTCATCGTCTGACAGTGATACAGAGGACTCGAGTTTGGTTTCGGGGAGCAGGTTGAAGCAAGGGAACGGTCGATTGAAACCGGATGCGAGTCCTGAGCTTCTGAGATTTCTGACAATGTCTGCCTTGTGTCACACAGTGGAGGTGTCTGACGTTGGGCTTTCTGGAAGCGAATCGTACGTCTCGCAAAGGAGGATGTATAATTATGAGGTGGGTTATTTTTCTAACACCTGTATTGTGACGCAAAATGTCGGTTCGCAAATACCATTTTAGTTAATCTAATATCTATACTGAATAATTTTCAGAGTGTAAATCTTTTGGTGCACTCCTTGCTGCCAGCGCGCGCCGGTTAGCACTTTAAGCTGACTGAGCTGATAACTGAACAATATTGAGTCCTTACAAACTTTGCGAGAACGAGTGCTTCCACGCATACACCTGAAACAGAAAACGCAAGAAAGCTTAATGTTAATGTTCTAAGGACAAAATAACGATAGTGGTGTGTGTGAGTTTGACCAATCACGTATATTTCTCTGTGTACCACATTTCGTTCCAGGATGAATTTTCACTTAGCTACCAAACGTATTTCTCGAGTAAAAGTCCAGTCAATCGTTTCCCAAATCTACGTGGTACTTCTGAGGTCAATTACTCCAAGGAATACAGATTCCGATCAGTAGAGAAGAATTTAGACTGCCTCTGCAGATGCGGAAGGCTTCGGACTGACCCGTTTCCAGTGACTCCGGTCCTCATCTCAACATCAAATATTCCAACATTACAAGCATAGTAGATTACTCAACGGATCGAATATTTGTGCTGATGGAAATCACGAGTATCTATAACGTGTCCTCTTCAATGCTTCTCAGTCAAATTGCTCCCAAATATTTTCCCCGGCAGGTTTGCTGCCCAACTCGGTCGTTAGCCACCTTCCGTTCTGTGAGAACCGGGATTCCTGCGAAGATAATCGGGCGTCTTCACAGGACTGTGTTGTTCCGTATATTAAAGAGAACCATGGTTAATTCTAGCTACGGCACTTTAGCGGAAGTAGCGAAATACCAGATGTTGTTCGTTCCGAATAATGCAACCCAAAACCAGTGAAATCATCTTCGGTAGCGACAGAGAAAAGTGATACTAGAATCAAGGAAATAGTTAATTGTGCAAGAGACCCTAGGTATCATACCACCACGACATATTAGTTAGACTAAGTGAGACAACGAACTGGACTTTTCCGTCAGACTTGGCATGGGCTATCACGTGGCAACAGTTCGTCAACCATTTTAACATTCTGGTTGCGGAAGCATCAGGCGCTGAGGCTCTCTACCCGGTAAACCTGGTCTTGCGTGTACGAAGCGGAACATATAAGTGGATAGCGGTGCGAAACTCGACCTGTCATTTCTACAAACTCTCTCCGGGCACAGAAACCTGGATGAGCTAAATTAACCAGTCGAACCTTTGTGCTCAAATTGCTCGCGCAAATGGAATTGTATACCAGCAGAAGTTGGCAGTGGGTATGACCTTAAAACACAAGCTTTTGTATCAACACGTCAATAGTCTACGTAAAATGAAACGGGGAATTCCTCCTCTTCAAACAGCGGACGGAGAGACTTGGACCCCGAAAGATGCGGAGAATACCCTGAGGTTGCAAATTGTTTTAACCTTTCGGTCTAGGGTCATCTAGCCGTATTCTAAGTGGTGTCTCAAACGTAAAACTCACTCGCATTTCCTTCACGGCAGAAACTGTGCTGAAACCTCTGCTGAGTGTGCGTAAGCACAGCTGTCCTAGAGTGATAAGGTTCACCCAACATCACTTGCGGTCATAGAAGAGAGCTAAGCTGATCTATTCGTTCGATTATTCCAACACTGTTTCGACGAAACGTACACTCCCGGTATGTTGCAATACGAGGTGATTTCTCCAGTTCACAAGGGAGGTAGTCGTTCAAATCTAGTCAACTACCGCTCCATAATTATGCTACCGATAGTTGCAAAGGTATAAAAAGCCATTATTACTGATGCGCTAATGGCCTACTTGGAGGAATTTGCCTACCTTGCTCCAGAACAGCATGACTTCCGACAAAATGGATCGCGCACTTATACATCCTCTACAAGCACGATCCAGTTAGACTGAAGCAGCAGAGTCTGGCACAAGAATCGATGTAGTGTTGCTCGACTTTTCAGTGGCCTTCGACCAGTTAGATCATAACAAACTGCTCTTTGGTACTGGCGATTCTTTCGCAGATTGGATAGAAGGTTTCTCCTACAACGGCGCTTGAGGGTAAGAGTACGGGAATCGCTATCGGATCTCATTCAAATAAATCGGTACTGAGGCCACAGTTATTTTTGACGTATATCAACTATATCACAGCCCCATAAGCCGGAACTGTATGCTGTGTGCAGAGGACATCAAGGTATGGTGGCCGATCAATACAATAGATGATAGTAAACTATTTCAAGCCAAACTTGATGGTGTTGATGCATAGTCACTTCAAAATCTACTTCGGTTTAATGTGGACAAGTGTAAAGTGCTACAGTTGTGGCGCCAGCTGGCAAACTAACACAAACTCAGCAAACCGGTAGTTCAAACATCCACCAGAAAAATCGACCTGGACGTTTTGGTTGAGGCCTACCCTGGATGTTAAAATCATGCTGAAAAGGCGACAAGCAGGGGGCATCCAACACATGGCCCCCCTGAGGTTTGTGTTCGGACGATCCGACCCGTCTATTTTCAACAGCTTTTGGCTAATACACATGTTCACATGTGGAATAAACAAACCGGGTCTTGCAGCCATTTCTGAGGATGGAACTCACAGCTTTAGAGATGTTCCAACTCTTGCAACCAAGAATGTCGAAGGCTTGTGTCATCTACCGTATGAGCAAAGGCTACGAGTGTTCAGAGTTTTCAGCAGACAATATTGGCGACTGTTGGGGACATTATTTTGACCTACCAAATATTGGGAGATCTCAATCACACGTTCCGCCATTTGCTAAGCTTCAGCTACAGCAGTAATCTAATAAGTCACCATCTCGAGCTGGTAGGGCAGTACAGTCATTTGGAATGCGGTTTGTATATCATTTCCACACGTGGTTTCAAATTGCGAAATGCCATACGGAAATCTGTTATCGGTTCTTGCTCCATGGTAAATGTCAACGCTCCTGTTGACCATCTGCTCATTTCGCTGTACCATCTCACACATAACATATTGCCCATGCCTAAATATGAACTGGTAGGTATTTACTGATGGTAAATTCCCAGAATAAGTTCCATGTTTTTCCCTTCCTGTATATGTTTAACAGGAGGCGGCAAGAATTTTTCAAACATCCTATTTGTCGTGATTCAATATGGATTCTCAGTGGAGTTACAGTTCATACTGCGTGTACCTAGGTTAGTCTACCAGTGTGAATATGCACTTTATCGGACGATATTCTCCATTTTGCAGTATTCACCAAAACCTTACTACGGGACCAATTACTCTTTAGATTTTGTTTACCCTTATTAAACTACTGTTCCGTTGTAGCACTGATATAATCCATGACGGAATTAGGTGTAAGATTCGCTTTCTGGTGGCATTAATGAATGCGCTTTTACTGCTCAACAAGCTTACGCCATTGTTAATCGCTTTCTATGTCAAATGAGTGTGCGCCCTGCAACACGGGTACCAGCTCTCAGAAACCAGCAAACACTTAAAATCTTGGAAGCCCAGTGGACGCGTAAATAGCCCAGCTGAAGATCCTAGCCACAGTGTTACCATTTCGTCTGACCAATGGGCTGACATCTTGTTGCCAGTGCTTGTGATTCAAGCTTCTGATGATCTCACGGATGAATGCGGAGAGTACACCACACGGTAACCATTTAGGATGGTTGCAGTCGAAAAGTACAATGGATCGATCGCTCAGCCTTCATGATTTTCTGCTTGGAAGCATGACTAGTGACCTAAAACTTGGGTTCGCAACTACATCTGCAGCATTCAGTAAACGCGTGAAGAGTATTCTTTTCGATAATTCTCATCGGGGGTATACAAATATGAACCAAAATGTTGGGGGGATCAAAGCTCGTAGCGGCTTATCTAACTTGGGTAAAAGGCTATATAGAAAGCAATTAACTCAATAGATAGGTGGTATCAAAAATGAATCAATGGTTTGATCAATCACACTGTCGCAGGACGAAGTACACTTGCACAAGGCTGGTCATGTGTCATTCTTAAAGACCGAGATGAAGCGATAGAGATAGCTCATGGCCAAGGTAATTTCAGAGCCTATAACAATGTGCGCAATTGGCGCTACTCATGTTTCAGAATCTTGATTGCAATGGCTTCAGAAATGGTCAACAGGTGTTTCTTGAGCCGTTTTGGATAGCGTTTAGGGATGGTACAAAAGAATTTAAACAACTGATTCAACTGGACTTGGTGTATGGTTTCAATAGAGTTGTAAAACGGAACTATCGGAGTTCCAATGTGTCGTTGCGCACACTTAACAATCTCTGTCTTACTATTCAGAGGAGCTGGTCTCGTTTCGATCAAAACAGTTACATGTACCTTGAATTTCGGTCACTACTACATCGGTTCATCAGGACAAGTAATACAACCAGCATGGTCATTTCGAGTGGCTACCTCAAAGCCGGAAGCAGTTTTTCCTAGACGCGAAGGTTACCACAGGACTTTTAGTGGAGTGATTCAAAGCTGCGAATTACATGTTGACGTGTAACTACTGTGGATATCATCACAATCTGACGTGCTCATCTGACTAAAAACGCAATAAGAGTAGACCATCTGGATGCATGAACTGTTTTCCTTCCGGAGAAATGCTGAAGTCTGTGGTGTCACGAAACACGGTGGGGTCAAACATCAACCGGTATGGTAAAATCGATTGCTGTGTCAGCTAAATCAAGGAAGACAAGATTGTTTTATGGATGGAACTAGAGTCACATGAGAACGCATAAAGGATTCCAACGATTGGGATAACTCATCTGGGCTTTCCTATCCGAAGCGTCACTTATCATCAGTCGAGCAGTATGGGCCGGATGAAACATAGCCCCCTAATTAAAAATACCAGTCGGTCAATAGGCGCTAATCTCGAACAAATGAGCCAAAGAGAATCTAACGGTAATTAACCGATTCTGTCCCATTTGATGCACACCGAGGCTACCCTACGCCACGTTACTGTAAGTAAGACGCCAAGGCGTTAATGACGGAGATAAGACGCCTGTAAAAGTTGCCCAGTCCATCGGAGGGTTCGATTAACACCAATCCTAAATCAGTTTGAAACACATATCGATTCAAATGCGAGCGAGTACTTCTGGCACAACCTCGGAATCGATAGTTTGGAATAGGTTTGGAGGTAATCGGAAAGCCAGCCGTTCGGAAGGCTTTCTGAGCACACTGCTAATGCATTGAAGGAAGCTTGTATGTTAAAAACGGAAGATCGTTCAACAAATATATGAAATGTTATTCATAAAGCCTAGGTAAACAATTGCAATCGCTTACATAATAATAATAATAATAATAATAATAATAATAATAATAAATGGCCAGATATAAGCCGTAACGGCACTTCGCAGCCACACGACCACTACCAGTAGCGTGTGGGCTAAGTATACCACGAGGACGCCAGCCCCTACGCGGATTCGAATCAGTGACCTTATGGTTGCAAACCAGACGCGCATACCACTCGGCCACCTGCCAGCGGTCGCTTAAAACCGCAGTGATAAGTGGCGCTTTCGAACCGCTGTGGCACACTTGTGTAGATGTCCACTGGTAGAGAAGACGAGGGTGGTTAAATTCCCATCTCTGACTTTCTTTACGCGAGAAGTAAAAACAACCCGGTACATTTGTCTACCACTAATTCCGTGTTACCCAGTATGACGAACAAACCTCATTAGGAAGTTAAACATGGTTCAGCTCAGGGTATCGAGTTATTCTATAAGGATGAGTCGACTGATTCAAAGTGTTGTCAAAATCGAGTACAATGACGTGTAAGAATGCGATAATAAATTAACTCTGCCTACCCTCCAATAACATGTGTGAACCGGCTGGTGGAAACAGCACCCAGACACTTGATTTGTGTTCATATTTCTTGTTTAATCTATGCTAACAGATCTCTGTAGAAGTTGAATTTCATCGCTCTGAAGATAAAGCACTAAGGTATCTTGCTCTTTAAATAGTGCAACTAGCTTTGCTACGGTTATCTTTCAGTAAGGAGGTAAGGTATTGTATACCTTCGAATAGTTTCCACCGTTCTCTCTTGCCCCATCTTGGGCTAAGTGCCAGTGTAATAAGTAGCAAACAAGTCGTCGCTTGTGTCGCCACCAGCTTTATTTAGCATGGCCCAAACTCCCTTATCGCTGCTCACAAAGTTCTAGAATGCGATTTCGAGCCCCTCGTTTAGACAAGAGGCTACGTAGTACCGAAGCGATGTGAGTGAAAGAAGCCAACTAGGTGTGTTTTGTGTTTTCGCTACTTATGTGACTGAGCTTTGCAGTAATAAGCGCCTTCATCTAGAGGCAAGACTCATTTGCGACTTTAATTTCTATAACCCTCGAACGAAAATTTACTAAAAGGTTGGTGCAGATTAAAATGGAATCCAGAACAGACTTCTGTTCATCGGTCTGAGTTGATTAAGGCCCAAGCAAATACAAAAGTTTGGCTGAACGTACAGAAGCGCACAGATATGTACGACTTTATGCGAAGTACGTGACTCATCGATGACACTGCCTTAGCAATCAGTGGACTTGATTTCATGAGCACAGTTTCCATCAATTTTTGTCGCTTGAGCCGATAGCCACGTGAATAGGTCCAAACTGGAGCACTGTGTTTCCGAATAACTATTGGCCGATCCATATTTTCATGACGATTAGCCCTGTAGACGAACGACCACGTCGCTAATTCATCATGATTTTACCCCTTGCTTAAATGAGAAACTAACTATTGGCCAGCAAGTATCCAACAATTTCCGAGACACTTAATGTAAGGAACTGAAATCGACGCATTGGCTCAAATTAACGGTTCGATGTGGGATGCTAAAATTTGACCTTTGACCTGACAAGTCGATGGCATGGTACCGAGCTTGATCCGTGGCAGTCGACCTCAGCATCGTTCGCTCTAACTGCGTAGGAAAGTTGTAAGGCATGGAGCAACTTCTTTTGCGCGCATACAAATGTTTGAAACAACCGGGTGCAAATCGATTCAGCTGTCGCGAGCGCACGGAGACGCAAACCTCTTGATTGATGCTGGTGTACCTTGTAAATTATCCTGAAGACACGTTTCAGATCAACTTGGTGCCCCATGCCAAAACAGCGCTGCTAATGGCCCCAGTTCCTCCTTGACGCAACTAGCGCGGGCAGTGCTCCTTCACGTGGTTGGACAAGTGCCGTGCCGTTCGACCAATATAAGTAGCGCCACAAGCGCAGTTGAACTGATAAATAACCATAGATGAGATCAGCAATGGCAGCATATCCTTACTGCGTGAACAAACAAGTGCTTCAGTAGAAAATGTACACTTTAATCTGTCTGCTGGGAATGTCGACTTGACTGCTGCTGAAGAACTTCTGGTTAGGCGTTCGGCTGCGGCATCCCCTTTGAAAGGTTATCTTAAAAATAACTCCACCGCGGTTAAAACTGGTACCGGCTTGGACTTTTCTTCAAAATTCTTGCAACAAATCTATCAGGGTAGCCATTCTCACGCAGAGTATTTTTTATAAATGCTAGTTCCTCATCCAGTGTGTCCTGTGAGCAAATGCTGCGTGCACTTGTGGTAAGGCAGTGGATTAAGTTTCGCTTATATCTCAGCGGGACGAAACTATGAAAATTCGTGTACGGATCAATCCACGTATCCTTTTTGTAGACTTTCCGCTGGGCGAAGCCGTCTGGCCTCTGGCTGGCATCTAGATACGGAAGCCGATTGCAAGTTTCTGCCTCATAGATAAATTGCAATGCAGCTTGAGCCCGGTTAAACCGATGGAGAACCTCATCCAGATTTACGCATTTATCCGCCACTATCATTCTTATAACGGTGGTAGTAGTCAAAAGCTTTTATCTCCGCTTGCCATTATGTTCTCTGCAATTTAGCCCTGAAGATATCTACGAACAACGCACCGAGGGGGATCCCATGGCTGCACCGTCCTTTTGCCGGTAAATTTACCATTAAATAGAAATTGCACATTCCATGGGCACCGCAGCAATAAGTTTTTCAACTCAAGCATAGGTATACAAATCTTAGTTTTCGTCTTCGTTATGTGCTCGCAAATGTAATCCATGGTTTCGATCAGCAGGAATTTAGTGAAAAGCGAGATAAGATCATAGGAGAGCATCACTTTCTCATTAATGTTGGTCTCATTGATGTTCCCAAGCTCGCTAACATGCCATCGACCTTTCAGTTTAAAGGACTACTTTTAGCCTCCGTCACTTAACCGTTAATTTGAGCCAATGAGTAGATTTCAGTTCCTTATTTTTCCCTTAAATCTGATTGTAATGGTCTGAAGAGAATCATGGAAAACAATTGTTCACCTATGGTCTCGTGTCCTTTTTAAACTCTAAATGGAATTTTCAAGTTGCTGACACTTAATGTGGTCAGTGTCAGACGCAAGTTCCAATACCAATGCTCATTCACCTGAAATGGCAATTTTTGCTTGTTTATTCAGGCCACTTCACCAGATGAAAAAGCACTTGTGGAAGGCGCTGCCAGGTTGGGTGTCGTTTACGCTGGTTGTCAACCCGCGGTTACAGAACCGTCCATTCTACTCTACACGATAGAATACTGGCCAGATGACTTTGATGTCAGTTTAGATAAACCCGTGGAAGTCAAGCAATACTTTGTGGACGCCATTTTGGAGTTCACATCAACACGGAAACGAATGTCAGTGATGGTGCGCTATCCGGATGGGACATGTCACGTGCACAGTAAAGGAGCGGAGATTAGTATGCTTTCTCCCGAGGTGAGTATTTACGAGAGTTCAGGCAATAAACTTCGCCAAAGATTTTAATTGGTTTGCCCTAGGTCTTGCAATTTGACCCATTAAGTTGTTTCTCCATATGATCCTACCGATGTCACTGTCACATTTGATCCCGGTAGGTGTACCTTTTCAATTAGTTTCCGTGTAAATCGATCAACTGACAGTGTAAAACATTTCTTTTTCTGTAGCTGTTATTGCTAAAATACCGATATTAAAACACATAGGTTGGTCGTAACTAGTTCAAAGGCACTTAAAATTTTCCCATCAATTGCACAGCTTAAATCCTTTCTTTTGATGGCAACACAAAATATAAGGCAAATAAGAAGCAGTATTATGTTTTAAAGGTAAACTAGTACGGACTGATTTGAGAGCACGTGTTATTTTCTCTTTGCGATTACTTATGAAACGGCACTCCTAGGCAATCTCTCCTACATTTGGTGGTTTAACGGAGGGTGCGCTACCGATGAAGTAAGCGACTGCCAAGGAGTGAGCTGGGATACAAAAAGTCATGATTAGTTGTGCCTAAGGATGCTTCTTCATACAAGTTTGTATTAATACACAAAAAATAATAGAATGAAAATCAAACAACTACGTAAGGAGGACAGTTGTTGGCAGTTGATCTATGATTCGTCCCCTAGCATACAAGCCGGGATTTCAAAGTAGTTGGCCGTCATACTGAAGAAGTTTTAAACAGTTTTATCAAGTAGACTAGTTCTGACCACCACCATATATATATGTACAAAAACTCTGCCGAACAACATTGAAAGACACCATTACGAAAAAGAGCATACGGTACGCGGACATTCGGTGGCTAGGGGACTATATATAAATATATATATATATATATATATATATATATATATATATATATATTAAACAGGGCAGGAGCTAAGACACAGCCTTGCTTCACACCAGAGACAACTGCAAAGTCATCCGAGGTCTCTCCACTAAGCTTCACCCTCGCTCGCACACCACTGTGCAGACATTCAATTAAACTTACAAACTTACGCGGACAACCAAACTTACCCAACACCAACCACAATGCGTCGCGGTTCACCGTATCAAAGGCCTTGGTGAAATCAACAAAAAGTAAGTACAATGGCTGGTGTCGTTCTCTGCACTTCTCTTGAAACTGACGAGCCGCAAACAACATATCTATGGTGCTGCGACCCGAACAGAATCCACATTGCTCTTCCGCCACGTTAGGTTCCACAACCTGACTCACGAGGCGGTTGAGCAGGATTCGGGCAATCACTTTGCCCATACAACTCAGCAAGTTGATGCCACGATAATTCGCGCAACATTGCTTGCTACCTTTGCCCTTGTACAGTGGTAGCACAAGGACATCCTTCAGCTCAGTAGGCACCTCCTCCTCAATCCACACGCGTTGCACCAAGTGGTGCAGCGCAGTCAACAACGCGGGTCCACCGAGTTTCAATACTTCCGGTGGGATCCGGTGGGATATATATATATATATATCTTCATGGGATGACGTCGTATGCTTTTGATGCCGCTTGTGCAAACGGTGTTCGTGTGGAGCACCGTATTGATGGTGGGTTGCTGAACATCCGTCGTTTCGGTGCGAGAACTCTAGTCTGTGAAACAACTATCCGTATGTTGCTGTTTGCTGATGACTGTGCGTTGTTTTCACACAGCGCGGATGAGTTGCAGCACATAACTAGTGCTCTGGCTTCGACAGCGGCCAAATTCGGGCTCACCATCAACACAAGCAAAACTGTCTGTCTCTTTCAGCCTTCACCGGAGGTGCAATCTTCAATATTGCCGCAAATCAGCATGGGTGTTGAAGTCTTTGAACCGCCTTCGGCTTCTGCTACCTTGGGAGCGTGATGTCAACTGATCGGCAGCTACACAGTGAGTTGCGCAATCGCGTGTCGAAGGCAGCGGCGGCATTCGGGAAGCTTGAGTACCGAGTGTGGAACAACCATCAGCTTAGCATTGGCACGAAGCTGATGGTGTACAAATCCATGGTACTGTCCGTTCTTCTATACGGCAGTGAAACGTGGACGATGTACCGTCGGGATGTGCGATATCTCGAGCGGTTCCATCAGCAGTGTCTGCGACGAATTTTACGCATCGGTTGGGGCGCCAGAGTCGCAGACACGGAAGTTTTGCGCCGAAGTGGAATGTATGCAGTGGACTGCATACTTTTACTGCGACACCTGAGATGGCTCGGTCATGTGAGCTGTATGGATTCGACGCGGATACCGAAACAACTTTTATACGGTCAGCTGAGTATTGGGAAGCGGTACGTGGGGAAACCAAAGTTACATTACCAGGACATGATTAAAGTGAGCCTCACACGTACTAATCTTGATTGCAGATCATGGGAATCGAAGGCGGTTGATCGGAGTGCATGGCGCGATCTAATCACGAAGGCAGTTGCTGAAGTGCGGGAGAAAGACCTCATGCATGCAGAGAAGAAGCGGCAGTTGCGGAAGCGGTAAACACCGATGAATTGTACTCCATCGACATCGAGCGCATGGTGCTGTAGAACATGCGGTCGCGAGTGCCTTAGTCAGGCAGGCCTAGTGAGCCATGAGAGAGGTCACTCGGGACCACTGCCGAAGCGCCGACGGGTCCCGCAGTGAACGTAGGCAGTACCGGCGCAGCGTTTGTAGGCACGCTGAATTCGATTTACTAACCGCATGCTTGCATGCTAAGTCTCTTTATTTCAGGTGGTGGGTTTTCGGTTCTCTCCTAATGCCTTTCTTTCTCATATAAATGTCTAGCGGGCCATGAGCTATGCCATTAGGGGACACTACAGAAGCGACGACGGGTCCTACAGAGAATTACGGCGAGCCGGCACAGCGTTTGTAGGCACGCTGAATTCGATTTACTAACCGCGTGCTTGCATGCTAAGTCTCTTTATTTCAGGTGGTGGGTTTACAGTTTTTACCATAACGCTATGGACAACTTCCAGTCAACATTAATACTTTTGCTTCAAACACGACCTCCACAACGATTAGATCATCGCTCCCTCGTCACGCTCACTGCCGACGATAAGATTGTTTACAGTGACTCACTTAGAGCGGTGTTATGATTGATGCGTTACTAGCTACCACAGTAGGAAAAGTATCATCGTTCGAAATTCGTTCCACTGAGCTCATATGACTTTCACCACAGCTACAATGAAAGCAAAGAAAATATCGCTGTCGCAGTTGCTACAACCTCACGATTCTCCAGTACAGTACATAAAGCGCTTCAGTGGCAGTATAAAACGAAATCTCGGGATAACAGTTAAAAAGCGACGGGTTTTAATTGAGATACCTTTCAAGTATAACCACCACATGGAAGTCAACGCGAAACGGATAAGCGCCTCAGTGAACAAGGCATACAGTGCAATAGAGCAACGCTTGCCCATCTCCACAAGAACAATGCTTAAGTTTTCTGTGAAGGCATCGGTGTCGAAGCGGTGCAGGTCCAAATGTTTACACAAATTCGCTTGCAGCTGTGGAGAAAGGTATGTTAGGTGCACTCATTGAAATCGAAGTGCACGAATCGCCGAACAATTTACAAAGTGGCTCCGCAAATGGATGGAACAGGCATTTAATGAACGCCGGTCGTCAGGCAAACCAGAATGAGCCACAGTGTCCTCATGAGCAGTAAAGGCTTCATATCCTTAAACTCCTCGAAGCTTATGTTACTAAGTAACAAGACCCACCGCTCTGCGTTCAAAAACCGCTGACTGTGACGTTAAGCTGCCACGGTAACGAGGAACGCACCAATCGAGTTAACGGGATCACATTTTGGTTCTTTCGTTGGTTTGATGTATGTGAACGACATGAATGCACGAAATGACGGTATCATCCCAGCTATTCGTTCACTGGTTTTCTTATTTGGATTTATAAAGGGAATTTGTGTTTTGCTAAGAGCTCCTGTACTCCAGGTATGAAACGTCAGCTGTTCCAAGTCTCACCTTATACCAAGTAGTCTTGAAACCTACCGGATTGGATCGGTAACGATTGCATATTTCCAAATTTATTTCATTTTTAGGTATGCTCGAAATATTCCCCCGGCTTGTACAAAAGCGTGATGCAGCGATCAAGTGATATTGCTGCCGAGGGTTATCGCACTCTGGTTTTTTCCAGCCGTCAGTTAGAAGAAATGGAGTACAGAAAGTTGCTAAAGGAATTACAGGAAGCAAATGGAATGTTTGGGGAGGACCGAGAGCGAGCCATTAAGGATGTGTATGCAACGATAGAAACGGACTTACGTCCAATGTACGTAACGGGAGTGGAGGATGTATTGTATCCTGGGGTGAAGAAATGTCTCAACAACTTACGAGAGGCTGGGATCCAGGTGAGTTCTAACAAGTCATAGTTCACACTCTCTGTGTATCATAAAACTCTATCGGTAGACGGGTCGATCGTCTACAGATTTTCGGTCTGATTGACTTGAGTCTCACTGAACCATGTAGCCTAACCTTCATGTACTTCGTTTGCAAGTTTAACCATAGAAAGCAGCATTCTGGTCGCATGTGGATTAAGCATTGAAACCTGGAACTAGCCCGCGTGATGCATGGTTCAGCTCTGTCCCTTTATCATCTATCACATGAACACCGAAGTCGGTGCGGTTTGATTGCGAAAGTATGGCTTCGTGCACATTTCGGAATGATCAGTAATCGTTCAAATGGGGATGACCTCAATTAGTGACTAACGGGGAGGAGATACTCAGGACAACTGGCAAGGTAGCCATCCAGGCCAGTAATCAAAGAAGTGATTTGAAATTAAAACTAACCTTCCAAACTGTCAATTCACAGTGTTATTACTCTCCGAGGGATACGGCCAGGACAATTCCCTTATTGTCAATCGATGAGCGCCTCAGAGTTATCCGGAGAAAGCTGGACTCAATACGGTAGGTCAACACGTTGGCCAGACTGCAATCAGTGTCTCGGTCAACTTTACCCTTTACGCTGTGGTCAGATCTGTCCACTGAGAAATCAGCTTGAAAAGTTGTGGTGTACTATAGGAGTTTCTAAACGGGAACAAGCATTAGTCTCCAAATAAACTTCGTTAACGGCGCATTGCTTACTAGGCTAGCACCATCTGCCAAACCCAGTGAGTGTAACCGCAGAGGCCGTAAAATGGGTTTTCAGACTGTGGGTTCGATTTAATGTGAACTTACTATACAGGCAGTGTCAATCTGTTGTTGTGGGAAATTAGAAGAATTGATGATTGCAGTAATTGTTATCGCAACCGTAAACAGGGATGAAATGCAGATTAGCATAAGCACAACGCATAAAACAATTCATAAAGATACACTGGAATACCCGACCAAGATTGCCAATTTATGTTGGCAATGTTGATACCATCACGCTTCATCGCATAAGAAACTAATAACTGAATTTAGGGAGTAATCTAGAGAGTAACACATTATTATAACAACAGCTGCTTATTGTCTTCTTCTGAGGACATTCCTGAGCAGAATGTTCTCGTTACTCCATTTCGATAACATGGCGCCAAATTACCTAGCCTTCGCATTCATTTCACTAATGGCACTGACCAGTCGTGGTAGAATCAACTATAGCTCGTTGTTTTATGTCACTGCTGCGTAGGAGTAAGGTCACGTGTTCGGATCTCGTAGGATCCGGCTTTTATGAATGTGTGGTGACTGTCTGGTGGCATATTTGCGAGCAGCCTTATCAGAAACAGTAAATTCCCTTTTTATTCTCAAAGCTTCCCACCAATGAGCCGTTTCAATGAACAATGAACAATGAATTCATACGGGTTAAGAAGCGTTGCTTTATAAGTCCCGTTGGATAGTTGGTGGGAATATCAACATAACAATAATGATGATAAGGATAGTAAAATAGTTGATACTTTAAATATGAAAATAAGGACTTATCGTTCGCTTCGCTGCAGTCCTGCGATTCTCTTAGATTCACAGCACCCACAGTTAACAACAAATACTTCCATGGCGAACTCCAGGTGTAGGATGAAGACGTAGTGTTAAGGAACAAAGTGTAATTGGATGAGTGCATTGTCCAACCGTCTTTTAAATACTGTTAGTGTTGGTGCAGAGACGACCGATTCTGGGAGAGAATTCCACAGGTGACAGACACGATGGGAAAAGTAACTTCTGCGGCACTCCAGATGACTGTATTGTTCTGCGAGCTTTAATGAGTGGCCCCTCAGGTTTGTATTGCTGCTGAGTTGCAGTAAAGGGCGGCACACATTATGTGGGTCTCGCAGAATCAAGTATGCCATAATCAGGTCGCCTCGTAGTCTGCGATAGCTTCCACTGAACAATCCCAGTCGTTGCAACCTCTCCTTATAGGACAGATCGCGCATTCCAATTACGTTCTTGGATGCCCGGCGTTGTGGCCGCTCCAGTGCATTAAGGTCGTGTTTCAACCATGGATGCCAGGCTTGAATTGCATATTCGACATGGGGGCGAACATACGCACTGAGCATTTGTCGAAATATGGAGCTGTTTATTTGTCCAAACGCCCGCCTCAACAGCCCAACGTGTTGGTTCCCGGTCTTCGAGGCCTCTTCGGATTGCCTGGAGCAACCCAAGTCATCTTGAACAAGGACACCCAAGTCACGTTCGACAGTTGATCGTTGCAGTACATCTGTTCCGAGTCCGTATGAGTAGCTGCTTTAATGTCGGATGGAAAGCACCTTGCATTTAGTGGTGTTGAAATGCAATACGTTTTGGGTCAACCATTGATACACCGTATCTAAATCACTCTGAAGCACAAGTTGGTCGGCGTTCGCCTGGATACTGCGCCAGATATTGATATCGTCGGCAAACATTAGGAAGTTTGTAGCGATTCCCTGTGCAAGGTCATTAATAAACACAAAAAACAGACGTGGACCTAGAACCGAACCTTGCGGCACACCACACTCGACTTGTATGGGGTCCGACAATGAGCTCCGAACTCTGACCACTAATTGCCTTTGAAATAGAAAGTTGGCGATCCAGCTTAAAAGAGGGTCTCCGATCCCCTAATGCTGCAGTTTGAATAGTCGTATCCGATGGTCTAGACGATCGAAAGCCTTGGAAAAATCCAGGTAGAGCACATCAACACCTTCTCCAGCGTCGGCTGCCTCGATCCAACTACTGCGTGCAATTAGTAAATTAGTTGTACATGACCGCTGTCGACGGAAACCGTGCTGTTCAGGGGTGATGAGGTTGCAGTTTTCCAGATAGCACACCAGTGCATCGGCAACTATGGATTCCATGACCTTGGAGAGTATAGGAAGAAGGGTTACTGGGCGGTAGTTGGAGGGATCAGTTCTGCTTCCACCTTTGTGAATCGGGCTTATTATTCCAAGCTTCCACATGGCGGGAACTTGGTTCTGGTCTAAGCAGCTCTGGAAAAACTGAGCTAAAGGTCCTGTCAGTTGGTTTGCTGCTGCTCCCTATGCCTCTGGACGAATGGTGTCGACACCCGGCGAGCTGTGTTTGCGTAGAGACGTCAGCTTTTGTAATACAGCCTCTGCGGTGAAAGTGATGTGGGTTAGTCCTGGTGAGCAGAATACAAAGCTTGGTAGATCGCTTGGTGGCAAGACTCTTTGAAACGTGGGGGCGTATTGCATCTGCAACGCGTTTGCAGCTTCCACCGCCGTTCTTGTTGGGCCATCAGCCGTCTTGAGTGGAGGAAATCCTTGCCTCACCTTTCGTACGCTATTAACGTGCAGCAGTTTGTGGTTAGCACTGAAGGTTTTTGCCATGTTATGCTGATAGGCAGCTTTGTCTTCTCTTAACAGTTGGGTGCAGTGGTTGCGTTGGAATACATAGTTGTCCCAAGTTTCTGGTGCTAGAGCTTCTCTGTACACTCGCCATGCTGCGTTGCGTACTGTCATACATTTTCGGGTTCTGCTCCTAACGAAAGAATCTGATTTGCACTTATTACAAGCTTTTGTCTCTGAAGCCTGTGCAATCAGCTGACTGAAATTGTTGACGAACTCAAGCCAGGTGACTTCCGGGGGTTCTTCTTCGAGGAAAGACCATGTTGTGGCGCTGACTAGCTGGGCGAGTCGGTCGTACCTTGTGATGGTTCGCACAGTATCATCGTTATCATTCAGATATTCTGCATAGCAGACGAAGTTGAAACTGATGACTGCGTGATCACTGCGACCCAACGGGCAGTCTAAAACCAACGCATCAATCAAATGCTCCTCGTTGGTTAGCACAAGATCCAGCACAGATTGCCTGTTACCAGTACTGAACCGAGTGGGCAAAGTGATGTGGTTGTAAAGAGGAACAGTAGTTACTAGATCTTGTAGATCGGTTTTGAATTGTTCTCCGATCGTGGCAGGGGCTTCTAAACAATGTACGTTGAAATCACCCATGATAAGAATGTGAGTGTACTTTTGTTGTAAACTGCATCTTGAAGCAGCCATTAGGTGGTAGTCGGTTTCGGGTGTTGAGTTAGGGGCGCGGTACACCAAGACAAAAAGGCAAGCGTCCCTGCCTTTTAACTGCAAGCGGCACCAAAGAGAGTCGGGGAACTGCGAGTCGGAATCCTCCACGGCTTCGCACTCTAAGTCGTTTCGGTAATACAGGATTACCCCTCCTCCTTTTGTGAGCCTGTCGTTCCGGATCAGCGACATGTCGGGTAGCGAAACTTCAGCCAGCTACTCATACCGACTCGGAACAGATGTACTGCAACAATCAACTGTCGAACGTGACTTGGGTGTCCTGGTTCAAGATGACTTGGATTGCTCCAGGCAATCCGAAAACGCTTCGAAGACCGGGAACCAACACGTTGGGCTGTTGAGGCGGGCGTTTGGACAAATAAACGGCTCCATATTTCGACAAATGCTCAGTGTGTATGTTCGCCCCCATGTCGAAAATGCAATTCATGCCTGGCATCCATGGCTGAAACACGACCTTAACGCACTGGAGCAGTCACAACGCCGAGCATCTAATAACGTAATTGGAATGCGCAATCGTTCCTACTAGGAGAGGCTGCAACGATTGGGATTGTTCAGTGAAAGCTATCGCAGACTACCAGGCGACCTGATTATGGCATACTTGATTCTGCGAGACCCACATCATGTGTGCCGCCCTTTACTGCAACTCAGGAGCAATACAAACCTGAGGGGCGACTTATTGAAACTCGCAGAACAATACTGTCGTCTGGAGTGCCGCAGAAATTTCTTTTCCATCCGTGTCTGTCACCCGTGGAATGCTCTCCCAGAATCGGTCGTCTCTGCACCGACACTAACAATATTTAAAAGACGGTTGGACGATGCACTCACCCACTTACACTTTGTTACTTAACACTACGTCTCCATCCTACACCTGGAGTTTGCCATGGAACTATTTGTTTTTAAATGTGGGTGCTGTGAATCTAAGAGGATAGCAGGACTGCAGCGAAGCAAACGATAAGTCCTTATTTTCGTATTTAAAGTGTTAACTATTTTACTATCCTTATCATCATTATTATGTTGATATCCCCACCAACTATCCAACGGGACTTGTAAAGCAACGCTTCTTAACCCGTATGAATTCATTGTTCATTACATTCTTGGGTCCATGACATAAATCCGGTGGTAGGATATGACTAAGGCAACGTAGTTTTGGTAACGAAGTGTCGAGATCTAAGAAAGACATCTAATTATTTGTTGCTAATGTCCACACTAGGGAGGATTCCACTGGATTTAGGAGAGCATTCCAAGGTCACGTTCCTGGGAGCTGGTCTGTAATCCGTGGGCCCCAAGCAAATACATCTAGTCATTAGTGAATGGTGGGGGTTATTGGTTTTATTGAAGATTCGTCGCAGCTCGAATTGGCCAGGTAGCCACCACACAGCCAGGAAAGCGTTATTGGGGCTCACCAATAGCATGCACCCTCCGAATCCTGCCGGATTCGAACCCAAAGCCTCAACCTTACGAACCAGCGAAT